GTAGAGACGGGGTTTCACCATGTTGACCAGGATGGTCTTGATCTCTTGACCTCGTGATCCACCTGCCTCGGCCTCCCAAAGTGCTGGGATTACAGGCGTGAGCCACTGCACCCGGCCTAAAAGATTTTTTAAAAAAGATTTTTGACCAGGCAAGGGGGCTCACACCTGTAATCCCAGCACTTTGGGACTTCAAGGTGAGAGGATCGCTCGAGGCCAGGAATTTGAGAACAGCCTGGCCAACATGGCAAAACCCTGTCTCTACTAAAAATAGGAAAATTATCCAGGCTTAAAAGAGTGGAAAAAAAAATTATCCAGGCTTGGTGGTGTGCGCTGGTAGTCCCAGCTACTTGGGAGACTGAGGCGGGAGCATCACCTGAGGCTGGGAGGTGGAGGTCACAGTGAGCAGAGATGGCGCCACTGCACTGCAGCTTGGGTAACAGTGAGATCTTGTCTTGGAAAAAAAGAAAAGGAAAGAAAACACTTTTAAAAAGCATTATCATGAATTTAGGTTTGTTTTGTTTTGTTTGAGACAGAGTCTTGTTCTGTCTCCCAGGCTGGAGTGCAGTGGTGTGAATTTAGGATTATTTTGATTGCTTATTCAGACACATAATGCTCAAAATTTGTTACGGTGGCAACAAACCTTTCTTTGGCTTTTCTATTTTTACTATCCTACTTTAGCTCTCTGTGTCTTTCTATTCCCTGCCATCTTTCAGAGCCATCAATAGTTATGTCACATACACAAACACTTCGACAAATTCTGAATATGACTAGTCTGGACTGAAATTCTTTTTCTTCAAACAGGAGACTTCTTCCATAGGGCCTCCGATAAATATATCTCATGTATATCCTGTAGAAAGATGATTTTTCTCTTTTTATGAATGGCTTCTATTGCACTGATAAGCTGCAATATTAGTTTTTATTTCCCTAGGATCCATTTCTTATTGTCCTCCTATAGAACTTTAGCCCTAGACCAAAGAAAAGCCCAAAGTACTGCTGAATATGGTTAAAATATTGCTTTATTCTGTAAAGAACTAGAGAAAAATAGATTCTGGATACCAAGTGATCTGAATTATGAAGTCATATATACTGTGCAATAAAGTGATTTGTAATATATTTGTGCCCACATAAAGACTAATGATTTTGAAATTATTTTCTATTCTACACTGTAACCCTCTTTATGTTAACCTCTGTGAAATAAAAAGTAGAATATTGGGGCTTACGTCATAGTTGCTCCTGGATCAGCAGTCATTTGATTGGTCACAAAAATAGCCACATTATATTCTGCATCAAGAGATAAAATTTAAAAACTATGAGAAGGGCAATATAATGTTTAAAATTTCACTGTTTAGATTTCAGAGTTTAGAAATATTGCATCATGAATTTATTTTATAAACAAGATCATATTCCTATTTTTCACTGACAACAGAAATTATTTAAGTTGTTTAGGTTAGAATAAATATTATTGGTTTAAAGAAAGAGTGGTATTCCCAAGAAGGTAATTTTATTTATTTATTTTTTTAAAAACTGCCTCCTGACATTATATTCCAAGCTTCTCTGCAAAGTATACTTGGCAAACATAGTCACAGATGCCATTTTATTTTAAAGATGTACCTTCTGAGATTTTTTGGAGTCGTGATAACATCTGGGCCAATTTTTGCTGCCGTTCAGCCAACTCCCCACGGCCACTGAAATCCACTCGAAAAAGTGCCATTATTGAATCGATAATCTACACAGGATTAATGTAAAAATAAACATGCATTTGGAAATTGAAGGAAGAAGTTCTTTGAATAGAGATCAATAGAAGAAAAATATTATGCTAAATAGTTCTGTGAAAGCAATATTTAAAAGCTTGAACCAACCAATAGCTTGAAGATGCCAGGTTCCTCATGGAACTTTGCTGCTACATAATCAAGTAGCTCCATCTGATGTTCACCTGGTGGGATATGCAGTGAGAAAATGTTATAAAAGTTGAAAGAAGCAGAGGCTAAGATCATTCATGTTCTTGGGAGCCAGACAAAAGAGACTCCTGGAAGGATTCGCTTAATTATGAGTTTATTAAACATTATTGCAGCTAGGCGCAGTTTGGGAGGCCGAGGTGGGTGGATCACCTGAGGTCAGGAGTTCGGACCCGCCTGGCCAATATGGTGAAACCCCGTCTCTACTAAAAATACAAAAAATTATCCCGGTGTGGTGGTGTGCACCTGTAATCCCAGCAACTTTGGAGGCTGAGGCAGAAGAATCGCGTGAACCCGGGAGGCGGAGTTTGCAGTGGGCCGAGATTGGCCATTGCAATCCAGCCTGGGTGACAGAGCAAGATTCCGTCTCAAAAAAAAGAGTTATTGCATATTCTGCCTTAGCATATATACCAAATGCTACATTATCCAAAAAGAATGTTACTTTTTATTTTAAAGACAAAGAATAATAAATAATTTGAGGGCACTTTATTATCTAAGGACTTACCAGATGATAAAATTTATAGACTGACTAAATTAATTTGGAGAAAAGTAAAATAGAAAAAAAGTAACAAAATGTCGTATCACTCAAGTAGTAAATCAGTGCTGCCAACCTTACATTGACCCAAGCATCCCACTGCGTGGGGCTCTTACTAGTATATGCACGTGCATAAAGTACGTTGTCCAGTACTGCATCATGGTCTACATTGAAGCGATCAGCAATGTCCCGAAGGCGATCTGGACGGCTGGAGTATGCCAAGATTAAGGATCCAATAAATCAATTCTAAAAAAGTTTAGACAACCACTACAAAAGAATATCTTATGTAAATTAACATAGAAGCCAAACAATGTACCTGTGAACATATTCTAGAGGATGCTTGCAACCAGTTAAAGTCTATACAAGATTTGTTTCTTCATAAGTGCCTCAATTTACCATAGGTAGTGATAATGGTCATAGAAATGTGGGGCAGTAATAACTATTAAATTATCAAATCTTTACAATAACTTTGGAAGCTAGTTTTTATGGCCTATTTTACATTTTACAATAGAGGACACTGGTAAACAGAGATTAGGCAAATGACTTGAGTTTATGCAGCAAACAAGTCACAAGAAAAAAACTAGAAACAGCTTTGTGAGTCCTTTTGTTCTCAGATCTATAAAAATAGACCTGTAATGGATAATATCACTGAATTATAATTCAGTCACTGCAAAGTGAATTAATTTACTCTCTTCATAACCCTCATCTGTTCGATATGAAATAGTTTATTATATCATTAATCATGTGTTGTTAACAAATGATAAATTTGACTACATGAACCAAAGGGTCAAAATGATAACTTCAAGGGTCCAGAAGAGAAATATCAATCCAAGCTTTTTTGTTTGTATAGGTTTTCTTTTTCTTTTCAAATCTTACCTGGAAAATATAGAGTTTAAAATCTACCTTCTTCTAAAGGAGTTGTTAGCTTTTTTTTGAGACAGAGTCTTGCTCTGTTGTCCAGGCTGGAGTGCAGTGGCATGATCTCGGCTCACTGCAACCTCTGCCTCCCAGGTTCAAACAGTTCTCCCCCTCTAGTCTCCTGAGTAGCTGGAATTATAGGCGCGAGACACCATACCCAGCTAATTTTTGTATTTTTAGTGGACATGTTTTCGCCATGTTGGCCAGGCTAGTCTTGAACTCCCGACCTCAAATGATCTGCCTGCCTCAGCCTTCCAAAGTGTTAGGATTACAGGCATGAGCCACCATGCCTGGCCAGGAGTTGTTAGCTTTCTGAAATTAACAAATTCATAGGAAAAAAACCAACAAACAAACACGTTTTATTGGGAGTCTGAACAAACTCCCCAGGTCTCCACAAACAAGTTTATTGGGGGTCTGAAGGAACTCTCCAAACCTCCATGATTTAGCAGGAGATAAGGGTAATCACCCCAGCACCTGGACCCATTTAGATTAAGGAAATTTACTGAGGCTCTAGAGGAAGGTCTTTAGGACTCAGATCTTAGTTACAGATTAAAAGAAGTTAATCACTTATTTCTTTTTTTTAAATTTATTTTATATATTTTTTGAGATGGAGTCTTGCTCTGTTGCCCAGGCTGGAGTGCAGTGACTCAATTTCAACTCACTGCAATCTATGCCTCCCAGGTTCAAGTGATTCTCCTGCCTCAGTATTGTGAGTAGCTGAGACTATAGGCATTTGCCACTATGACTGGCTAATTTTTGCATTTTTAATCTTTTTTCTTTTTAATTAAAAATTTTTTTTTCTTTGCAAAGTTATGACTGAATTTTTGTATTTTTAGTAGAGATGAGGTTTCACCATGTTGGCAAGGCTGGTCTCAAACTCCTGGCTTCAAGTGATCTGCCCACCTTGGCCTCCCAAAGTGACTTACGTATTTAGATGAATGCACACTTATATGTAGACATATAGTTTAGAAGGGATATAAGCTCTGGAAGACTTTGTAATTTTGAGTTGGTTTGGTGTTATTTTCCAGGTCTTCTCCCTGTAACAGGTTATAGAAACAAAAACTCCTTCCTTTCCCAGTTCATCTGCATCTCATTATTGGGCTGTGAGAATAAGCACACTGACCCTCAGTTTGGTCTGGGAACAGTGTGACCAGTGGTGTAAAAATTGGGCTTAAATCCTCAACCAAATACTAGGAAACCAAATTCAACAACACATTAAACAGATCATTTATCATGACCAAGTGGAATTCAACTCAGGGATGCAAGGATGGTTCAACACAAATCAATGTGATATATCAACAGAATGGACAAAAAATGTATCATTTCAATTGATGCTGAAAAAGCATTTGATAAAAAATTCAACATTCCTTCATGATAAAAAAAACCTCAAAAAAATTGGGTATGGGCTGGGCATGGTGGCTCATGCCTATAATCCCAGCACTTTGGGAGGCCAAGGTGGGCGAATCACGAGGTCAAGAGATCAAGACCATCCTGGCCAACATGGTCTCTACTAAAAATACAAAAATTAGCTGGGTGTGGCGGTGCGCACCTGTAGTCCCAGCTACTTGGGAGGCTGAAGCAGGAGAATCACTTGAACTTGGGAGGTGGAGGTTGCAGTGAGCCTAGATTGCATCAGCACACTCCAGCCTGGCAACAGAATGAGACTCTGTCTCAAACAAAACAAAATATTGGGTATAGAAGGAACATACCCCAATATAAAAGCCATATGCAACAGACCCACAGCTGGTATCATACTGGATAGGGAAAATCTGAAAGTCTTTCCTCTAAGATCTGGAACAAGACAAGTATGCCCATTTTGCCACTGTTATTCAACATAGTACTGGAAGTCCTAGCTAGAGAAATCAGACAAGAGAAATAAATAAAGGGCATCCAGATTGAAAAGGAAAAAGTCAAATTATCCTTGTTTGCTGATAATAAGACCTTATATTTGGAAAAACCTAGACTCACCCAAAAAACTATTAGAACTGATAAACAAATTCAGTTAAGTTGCAGGATAAAAAATTAACATACAAAAATCAGTAGCATTTCTAAATACCAACAGTGAACAATCTGAAAAAGAAGTTTAAAAATTAATACCATTTACAATAGCTACAAATAAAATTAAATATCTAGAAATTAACCAAAGAAGTGAAAGATATCTACAATGAAAACTATAAAACATTGATGAAAGAAATTGAAGAGAACACACAAAAAACAGAAAGATATTCCATGTTCATGAGACAGAAGAATCAGTATTATTAAAATGTCCATACTACCCAAAGCAATTTACAGAGTCAGTGCAATTCCTATCAAAATACCAATGACATTCCTCAGAGAAATAGAAAAACAATCCTAAAATTTATGTGGAGCCACGAAAGACCCAGAATAGCCAAAGCTATCTTAAGTACTAAAAATACAAAACTGGAGGAATCACATTACCCAACTTCAAATTATACTACAGAGTTATAGTAACCAAAACAGCATGGTATGGGCATAAAAACAGACACACAGGCCAATTGAACAGAATAGAAAACCCAGAAACAAATCCACAGACCTAAAGTGAACTAATTTTTGACAAAGGTGTCAAGGACATACATTGGGGAAAGGATAGTCTCTTCAGTAAATGGTGGTGGAATAACTGGATATACATATGCAGAAGAAAGAAATGAGACTCCTATCTCCCACCATATAAAAAATCAAATCAAAATGGATTAAAGACTTAAATCTAAGACCTCAAACTATGAAACTACTAAAAGGATGCATTGGGGAAACTCTACAGGACTGGGTGAAGATTTCTTGAGTAATACAACACAAGCACAGGCAACCATGACAAAAATGGACAAATGGTATCACATCAAGTGAAAAAGCTTCTGAACAGCAAAGGAAACAATCAACAAGATGAAGAGAAAACCTGCAGAATGGGAGAAAATATTTCCAAACTATCCATCTGACAAGGGATTAATAATCAGAATATATAAAAAACTCAAACAACTCTATAGGAAAAAAATCTAATAATCTTATTTTAAAATGGGCAAAAGATCTGAAAAGACATTTCTCACAAGAAGTGTAAAAGGAAAATACCTTGGGCTCCCAAAATCTCTAAGGAAAACTCAAGCTGGAAACTGCTTATGGCAAACCTGCCTTTCATTCTTTATTCAAAGTCACTCCTCTGCTCACTGAGATAGATGCATATCTGATTGCCTCCTTTGGAAAGGCTAATCAGAAACTCAAAAGAATGCAACCATTTGTGTCTCTCTCACCTATCTGTGACCAGGAAGCCCACTTCCCACTTTGAGTCTTCCTGCCTTTGCTTCAAGTTGTCCCGCCTTTCCAGACTGAACCAATGTTCTTCTTACATATATTGATTGATGTCTCACGTCTCCCTGAAATGTATAGAATCAAGTTGTGCCTCGACCACCTTGGGGACACACCATCAGGACTTCCTGAGACTGTGTCACAGGCACATCCTCAACCTTGCCAAAATAAACTTTCTAAATTAACTGAGACCTGTCTCCGATTTTCTGGGCTCATAGAAGACATACAAATGGCAAATAGATATATGAAAAGGTATTCAATGTCATTGATCATCAGTGAAATGCAAATCAAAACAGTGACATATCATCTCACCCCAGTTAATATGGCTTTTATACAAGACAGGCAATAACAAAATTAGGCATGGTGACTTATGCCTATAATCTCAGCACTTTGGGAGGCCCAGGTGGGAGGATCACTTGAGTTCAGGAGTTGGAGCTCCTGAGCTCCTGGTGAGCCTGGGCAACATGGTGAGACCCTGTCTCTACCAAAAAAATACAAAAATTAGCTGGGCATGATGGCACGCGCCTGTAGTCCCAGTTACTTGGGAGGCTGAAGTGGGAGAATCACTTGAGTCCTGGATGTCGAGGCTACAGTGACCCATAATCGTGTCACTACATTCCAGCCTGGGTGACAGAGCAAGACCCTGTCTCGAACACAAAGCAAAATAAAAAAATTTTAAATGAAATATTTGGGCTTATGCTGAAGGGAAGTTCAGATCAATTATAAATATTTATTAACCAATTACCATATGGAATTGATTACCATATTAACCAATTACCAAGGCAAATCATTACGGAGGATATAAGGAGTCATAAGACAACCTATGCCCTAGGTAAATTTAAAACATAATTAAGGAGGCAAAATATAAACATATAAAAATAAAAATATCAACAGACAGCAGTATAAGTATGAAACACTGAAAGAATGAGAACTTTCAGATGTGATCCTTGCCACAGTGCCCCGCACTCCCACCCAGCTGTTTTCTTCACTCTCTCTTGCATATGACTTAGCTCCCAACTATTCTATCGTTCTTGATAAAATCCAGATTGCCCAAACAAGTGGCTGCTAAACTGCAAGAACAATTCTTCCCTGAGATGAGAATCATCCGTAATCAATTGTTTCTGAAACCAGCTGAACTCCAGCTGAGGCACCTTGTTAAAGCCCTATACAACATTTCACCCTTCTTCCCCAAGTTAAAAGGCTGTTTCAGAATCTTCTCATGCCTGGCATTTCCGAATAAAGACTTCTGCAAACAGTTCTCTGTTTGGTTTTCTAAGTGAGTATTTTAGATAGTAAATTCTATCATAGGTCAAGAAGGACAAGATTTTCTAAATTTAGTAATTAGGGAAGATTAGAAAAAGCCTGCATTGAAATGAGTGCCTTAAAGGATTTGTGTGATTCAGAAAGACTGTGAGATGGGGACGGAAGAAGCAAATACCCAAGATGATAGAAATATACAATGCAAATTTCTCTGTGACCAGTCAAATTAACAGCCAAGAGTGAGCGCAAAATAAAGGCACTTGCAGATACACTAAGGTTCAAAGTTAGCCACCTGGATTACATTTCTGAAAGAAATAAGTATTCCAGCAAAACAAAAATACAGAAAAGAATAACATTTGGGATGTAAGAAACCATAACAAACAAAGATAACAAAAAAAATTTTTTTTTTGGCACCACCACACCCGGCTGATTTTTTTTTTTTTTTTTTTTTGAGAATGAGTTTCGCTCTTGTAGCCCAGGCTGGAGTGCAATGGCCAGATCTTGGCTCACTGCAGTCTCTGCCTCCCGGGTTCGAGCAAGTCTCCTGCCTCAGCCTCCTGAGTAGCTGGGATTACAGATGCCTGCCCACCACCCCGCCTGGCTAATTTTTTGTATTTTTAGTAGAGATTGGGTTTCACCATGTTGGCTAAGCTGGTCTCGAACTCCTGACCTCAGAGGATCCACCCTTCTTAGCCTCCCAGAATGCTGGGATTACAGGTGTGAGCCACCACACCCAGCCCTGCAAAAGTCTCTTTAGGTAAATCTAAATAACTACTGATGTACAATGTTTTTAGATTTTTTTTTTTTTTTTTTTTTTTTTTACAGATTTTTTTTTTTTTTTTTTTTTTTTTTGGCAGAGACAGTCTTGCTATGTTGCCCAAGCTAATCATGAACTCCTGGGCTCAAATGATCCTCCTGCCTCAGCCTTTCAAGTAGCTGGGATTCATAGCCACAACACCCAGCTAATTTAAAATTTTTTTCATAGAAACACTATGTTGCCCAGGCTGGTCTTGAACTCCTGGCCTCAAGTGATCCTCCTGTCTTGGTGTCCCGAAGTGCTGGGATTACTGGAGTGAGACCAGACATATGTTAAAATTTTGATAACAAAGCATATTTACAGGCAGTGGGATGGACTAAAACAGATTCAGCTCTTTGCCTCTAATAATGACAATGGTAAGTAATGAGCTTGGAGAGGCAGGCTGGGGCTTCACTGTGAATGGCTTTACAAACATGTGCAGGTCTTTGTTGTTGTTAAAAAGAATTTCATCTGAATACCTCCTCAAACTAGTATAGTTGATCTTCCTTTCATGAGTCAATTTCATACTGCCTCCCTCCCTTATTGTGTGTTTATTTGTTTATTTATTTATTGAGACGGAATCTTGCTGTTACCCAGGCTGAAGTGCAATGGCGGGATCTCGGCTCACTGCAGCCTCCGACTCCCAGGCTGAAGCAATTATCCTGCCTTAGCCTCCCAAGCAGCTGGGATTACAGGCACCCACCAACATGCCCGGCAAAATTTTGTATTTTTAGTAGAGATGGGGTTTCACTATGTTGGCCAGGCTGGTCTTGAGCTCCTGACCTCATGATCTGCCCACCTCAGCCTCCCAAAGTACTGGGACTATAGGCGTGAGCTACTGCGCCTGGCCCCTTATTATTTACAAAAAGTTTCTATCACCTCACCCTATAGCACATGTTCGACTGAACTCCTAATTTTGAACTTTAGCGAACTTTCTCAGGCTTCACCCTCAAAATCTGTGTGTACCATTGCTGACTATTCTTTTCATCTTGAAACTTTCCTTTTGCTTGACTTTTCCTCTGTCTCTGGGTTCCAGAGTTCCAGAGTTCCTTCTACTTCCTCTGTCTCTGGGTTCCTCATTTTAGTCCTCTTCCTAAATATAAACATACTTCAAAGTTATATTCTCAGTTCTCTCTTCTCTCTCTACAAGTTCTCTTTCCCACTTGGTTAATTCATTGATATCTCTGGCCCTACCCCTTTCTCAAGCTGAATTCAATACTTCCAACTGCTATCTGGATGTCCTCATGTACATCATATTCAATACATTAAAATGAAGGCTGGGCACAGTGGCTCATGCCTGTAATCCCAGTACTTTCTGAGGCCAAGGTAGGCAGATTGCTTGAGCGCAGGAGTCGGAGATCAGCCTGGGCAACATGGCAAAACCTGGTTTCTATGAAAGATAAAAAAAATTAGCCAGGCATGGTGGTATGGGTCTGTAGTTCCAGCTACTCAGGAGGCTGAGGTGGGAAGATCACTTGACCCTGGGAATTCGAGTCTGCAGTGAGTGTAATTGGGCCAATTCACTCCAGCCTGGGCAACAGAGTGAGATCTTGTTTCAAAAAAAGAAAAAACAATTAGGCTGTGTGTGGTGGCTCACAGCTGTAATTCCAGCATTTTGGGAGGCCAAAGTGGGTGGATCACTTGAGGTCAGGAGTTCAAGACCAGCCTGGCCAACATGATGAAACCCTGTCTCTACTAAAAATACAAAAAATTAGCCAGGCGTGGTGCTGCAGGTTTGTAATCTCAGCTACTTGGGAGAGGCTGAGGCATGAGAATAGCTTGAACCTGGGAGGCGGAGGTTGCAGTGTGTTGAGACTGTATCACTGCATTCCAGCCTGGGCAATGGAGAAAGACTCTGTCTCAAAAAAAAGTAAAATTCGTACATTAAAATGAAACATCGCCTTTTCTCTGAAACATGATCTTCCCAGTTCTATTGTTAGCATTGCATCACTATTCTCCCAGTGTCTAGACAAAAAATCTGAGTGGCTTATCAAACCTCTCTTTCCTTTGTCTACCAAATACAGTCATCAAGTCCTATCAATTTTCCTCTCCAATATTTATTTTCCTTTTCTTTTTGTTCTTGACACTTCCAACCTAGATCAAGTTCTCATGACTTGCCTAGAATATTGCTAAAGTATCCAATTTACATCGACTATCTTGTTTGAAAGCCTTTCATGTCTAAGATTCCAATCATCTTTCTAGCCCATATCCTGGAATACCTTACACTTGAATTAAAGTGCAATTCTTTCAGGTTCTGCCTGCTTTCCTTATGAACTTTTGCCCTCTTGATACCTTTCCCTTTATTTGGAACCATGACTTTCAGTGAGTCAATAATCTTCACACCTGTAATCCTAGCACTTTGGGAGGCCAAGGCAGGTGGATCACCTGAGGTCAGGAATTTGAGACCAGCCTGGTTAACATGGCGAAACCTTATCTCTACTAAAAATACAAAAATATTAGCCAGATGTGGTGGCACATGCCTGTAATCCCAGCTACTCAGAAGGCTGAGGCAGGAGAATTGCTTGAACAATCCCAGCTACTCAGGAGGCTGAGGCAGGAGAATTGCTTGAATAGATGAAGGTTGCAGTGAGCTGAGTTCTCCCCATTGCTCTCCAGCCTGGGCAACAACAGAGCAAGACTCTGTCTCAAGGAAAAAAAAAAAAACAACTTCTTTCTATTAAGAAAAATCTTTAGAGAAGAGGATTAAAAATGAAGACCATGTAATTTTCTCTCATGTATTTGTTTTGTCTCATAAACTTATATGAAGAAGTGAAACCTTATTAAAGAAAAAGTGGTTTGAGAACTTAACCAGTAATTGTTTTCCCTTTGGCTTGTCTCATTATTGCTGGTTTATGGGATGACTACAAAGATGGTATATCTCAGACAAACTCTTTCTTGGTAACATTCCTATATCACACTATTACTTTAGCAATTTAATTAAAAAGGTTACAAAGTATTTTCTGTATCAATGAAGATGATCTTTCCTCCTGGGTAGTCACCAGCTCCTGGAAGTTGAGCTGTCACTAGGAAGCATATAAAAATTAATATTAATAGGAGTGAATAAACTTTGTACAAATGACTATATAAATAAACATGGAATCTGCTGTTGCAACTCTCTAGTACATTTTGCAAAGAGTCATTATCCTTTCGTTTCTAAACAACATGTTATATTTTCATATTACTTAACCAGTGGTGAAATTAAAAGTATTCTGCCAGCATAGTAGCAATTCAACAAATAATTTTACTATCTTTCACAATGGAAGATATTCGTAAAAGTTAGTTCTCCCAAATAATGGAAGTAGAATTTAAATATTACTTTCTTCCTATAAGAAAGAGCCACAAATATGGCCAGGCATGGTGGCTCATGCCTGTAATCCCAACACTTTGGGAGGCCGAGGTGGGTGGATCATTTGAGATCAGGAGCTCAAGACCTGTCTGGCCAACATGGTGAAACCCTATCTCTACTAAAAAATTAGCCAGGCGTAATGGTGCACACCTGTAGCCCCAGGTATTCTGGAGGCTGAGGCAGGAGAATTGCTTGAACCCAGGAGGCAGAGGTTGCGTGAGCCAAGATCGTGCCACTGCACTCTAGCCTGGGTGACAGAGCAAGACTCCATCTCAAAAAAAAAAAGTCACAAATATAATTTTTGCTATGTAACTAAGTTACCTTTCAATTAATATATGTAAAATTTTAAAAATGCATTTATGGTTTGACTTAGAAAAGAAAAAACATTTAACTCACAGGTTTAACTAAAAAAAAATCATAAAAATGCTTTTTTTTTTTTTTTTTTTGAGACAGGTCTCACTTTGTCGACCAGCCTGGAGCATGGTGGCATGATCTTGGTTCACTGCAACGTCTGTCTCCCGGGTTCAAGTGATTCTCCTACCTCAGCCTCCTCCCCAACAGGCACATGCAACCAGACCCAGCTAACTTTTGTATTTTTTGGTAGAGACATGGTGGCCAGATTGGTATCAAATTCCGGACTTCAGGAGATCCTCCCAGGGTTAGGTGCTGGGATTACAGATGTATACCACTGTGCCCAGCTGCATTTACTTTTTAGGTAGTAGTAGTTAACACTAAAGAGCTACTTTATACCCGGTATATACATTATTTCATTTACTTTTCAAGACAATCCTAAGATTTGGCACTATCATTTCAATTTTATTGATGGGGGAAATTAGAGAAGTAGAGAAATTTGCTCAAGGTCACACATCTACTAATGATAGAACCAGGATTGGAGTCAGGCATTTTGATTCCAGAACCCCTTTCTTAATCACTTTGCCAAGTTCCTTCTCCATAGGTCAAAGAAATGCATAGTAGTGCCTTATGGAAAAGGAGATATCTTTACTCATTTTGTTTAAAACAATTTTTTTTTTTTTTTTAGACGGAGTTTCACTCATGTTACCCAGGCTGGAGTGCAATGGCGCGATCTTGGCTCACCGCAACCTCCGCCTCCTGGGTTCAGGCAGTTCTCCTGCCTCAGCTTCCTGAGTAGCTGGGATTACAGGCACGCACCACCATGCCCAGCTAATTTTTTGTATTTTTAGTAGAGACAGGGTTTCACCATGTTGACCAGGTTGGTCTCGATCTCTTGACCTTGTGATCCACCCGCCTCGGCCTCCCAAAGTGCTGGGATTACAGGCTTGAGCCACCGCGCCCGGCCACAATTTTGTTTTTAAATCTCTCTTAGGGCCAACCTTAAGCAATGAAAAGTGGAAGATTCTAGCACCCCATAGATTTTGTGTCACTCTTTTAAAAAAGATATAGAAAAGATGAAATGAGAAAAATTGAGACAGTGGACTCCTCACCAACACATTCATAGTAGACCCATTTAACTTCTGTTTCTTCTCAGGTGTTCATAGTCCAGCACATACATCACCTCAAACATCACACATTTCAAAGACCAGCTGTATAACCACGGGCAGTTTACTTAATCTGCCTGTGTTTTAGTTTCCTTGCAAGCCTGTTCAGATTATATGAGATTAGAGTATCAAGCACATAGTAGATGTTTGATAAATAATAGTTATGATTATTATTGTTATTGTTATATATCCTTACCACAGAGGGTATGAGAGAGCTGGGTTTTTCCAGTACGAAATTCTGTGAAATACAAAAAAGATTCTAAAAAATGCATAATTTTTAGATATTTTCATAAAGAATAAAACATGGCCTCAGAATATTACTGTTTTCTTTTCCAACTGTCAAATCTTACTTATAAAATATCCTGGGTGTTATTTTTTGTTTTGAGATGAAGTCTCGCTCTGTTGTTGAGGCTAGAGTGCAATGGCCTGATCTCAGATCACTGCAACTTCCGCCTCCCGGGTTCAAATGATTCTCCTGATTCAGCCTCCCAAGTAGCTGGGATTACAGGCGCCCACCACCATGCCTGGCTAATTTTTGTATATTTAGTAGAGACGGGGTTTCACCATATTGGCCAGGCTGGTCGCAAACTCCTGACCTCAGGTGATCCGCCTGAATGCTAGGATTAGAGGAATGAGCCACCACGCCCGGACTTATTTGTTTAATATAAATTAATTTAAACCAAGTTTACCTTAGGAACGGTCATATATATGAAAGTTAAGACCCTGCCACATGGGGTGAAGCTTAGTGGCTCACACCTGTAATCCCAGCCCTTTAGGAGGCTGAGATGGGTGGATCACTTGAGGTCAGGAGTTCAAGACTAGCATAGCAAACATGGCAAAACCCTATCTCTACCAAAAATGCAAAAATAAGCCAGGCGCAGCGGCCTGTAATCCTAGCACTTTGGGAGGCCGAGGTGGGCGGATTGCCTGAGCTCAGGAGTTCAAGACCAGCCTGGGCTACACAGTGAAACCCCCGTCTTTGCTAAAACACAAAAAAATTAGTTGGGTGTGGTGGCCATGTTCCTGTAGTCCCAGCTACTTGAGAGGCTAAGGCAGAATTGCTTGAACCTGGCAGGTGGAGGTTGCAGTGAGCCAAGATAGCGCCATTGGACTCCAGCCTGGGCAACCAAATGAGACTCCATCTTTCTGCCTTCCCACAACCCCCTCCTTCAATAAAACAAAAATTAGCCTGGTGTGGTGGCAGGTGCCTGTAATCCCAGCTACTTGAGAGGCTAAGGCAGAATTGCTTGAACCTGGGAGGCAGAGATTGCAGTGAGCCAAGATGGCACCACTGCCCTCCAGCCTGGGAGACAGAGTGAGACTCTATCTCAAAACAAAAACAAAAACAACCCTACCACAGGAAAGAAAGCCTGGGGCTTCCCTACTGAACTGAGGTCCTCACAGGGGAGCTGAAGTAGTCTCAAATTGGTGCCATCCCCTAGCTACCAGCAAAAGCAAATTCTTTCTGGAGGAAAACTTTCCTACTTACCAGTCTAGGTCCATTGAACGCTCATAGATTAAAATCAAACAATAAGCTCAGAAACACCAATAAATACAGAAGAAGGTAAGCCACTAAGATTGAGTCAACAGAAATAATAAGAACCAGATTTAGTGCCCAAGTCAACAGGAAAAAAACAACAAAGAACAGATTTAGCTCTCCAAGGAGAGCAAATACTGGATTTGTCAGATATGATACACTCTGTAGCTATGCATGAATTGCTTTTTAAAAATAGAGGCTAGGATGGGTACAGTGGCTCATGCCTGTAATCCCAGCACTTTGGGAGGTCGAGGCAGGAGGATTGCTTGAGTCCAGGAGTTTGAGACCATCCTGAGCAACATAGCATGACCCTGTATCTATTATTCAAAAAAAAAA